TTTTTTTTTTTTAATTTAGTACAGGGTCTACAGAGTCTACAGGGTCTACAGGGTCTCACTACGTAGATTAGACTCGTAGTGATCCTCCTGTTTTTAGCCTCCCAAGCACTGCGATTACAGGTGCACACCACCACGCCCAGGCTCAATCACAGTCTCGGCATGCCCCGGGGGCCAGAATGGCATGGCATGACGGGGGCTCAGGGGACTGAACCCCGGCCACCACACTCTGCCTAAACTTCTTAAAGAATGTAAATTGCAATGTTTTATAATTTAGAACATTAAAAATACCAACTTCAAGGAATATATGAAATACAGAAATGAAAAAGTAATAAAAAGCTCTATCAAGAATGTATGTATAAATAATATACTACAACCTCAAAGAAAAATGACTACAAACTTTTCACTAAAAGGGGCTTAAGGGCCAGCCAGATAGCTCAGCAGATGAAAGCGCCTGCTTAGGCAGAGCACAGCAGCTGGGGTTCAATCCCCTGAACCCCACCGTGCTGTGCCAGCTCAGCCCCCGAGGCATGCTTGAGACTGGGTGGAGTGGAACACCTGTAATCCCAGCACTTGTGAAGCTGAAAGCAGGAGAATCACTAGAGTCTGATCTACGTAATGAGACCCTGAAGACCCTGTACTAAAACACAAAAATAAAAATACAAAAGGGGCTTAAACTGCAAGTGTGATGAAAAAGTGTATCAAGCTAATCAGTAGTGAGGTGTTAGAAATCTTACAAGAGCACATTAGCAAAACACTACAAGTTCATGCTTAACTGGATATATTCTGCTGTGTACTCGAATTTGAACGCTGTGGTTTCTACATGACAAGAATGGTGCTCAGACACGAAAGCTTCGCATTCACGGCACTCACACTACCTTTAAATGTTTCCTATTACTTGGCTGTGCCCTCCAAACAACTTTGGGAGAACCAAGGAGCTGCAACCAACCCCATATACGGCAAAGGAAAAACAGAACCACTGCTTAGTAGTGGTAAAACTGGGAGAATAGCCAAGGGTTTGGGGTACTGCGCCTCACTCTCTCAGCTTAACTAGAAAGCTGCCTGATATTTCTAAGCCCTCATAAAAATAAGAACAATTCTAGTGAGGATTCTCGTATTTTACATGTTAGGCTAAGAATACTCTCAATTCTGGTAGCACTAAGTTGAAATTCTAGTAAATTTTATGACCTAAGTCTCTGTTTTGAAATATATGGTACAGACAGCCATGCCGAAAGAGTTTACTTACTTAGAATGTTGGAGTTTATCTTCTATTAGTGGAAGAACAGCTGGGATCATTTCTCGAGGGAAAATCTGGCTGACGACAGTAAGTGCCATGCAGACTTCTACCAGGTTGGTGCTCTGCAGGTCCTGGTGCAATTATTAGGCAAAGAAGACATTCAACACAAATTCCAAAACTAGGGATGGCAAACCCGACAATATAATGGTCCGATGTACCTGGTAATACAGTACTTGTACTGTTTCAATTTTGTAATCAACTTGTACATTCAGACTTAAGTCACACTTTATAGGAACATGCCCATTTCTTTCATTTAACAAAGTCAATAGATAAATATAGCCAAAAAGCAACTGATACGAAAGGAAAGTTTTCAGTTTGATACTGGCCACAGTAGTCTCTTTATTATTTTAAGCTTTCCAAACCAACATGGTTGGAGCCAGGGACACAACTGAGCAGCTCAACACCTCCCTGGCAAATGCAATGTCCTGAGTTCAATTCCCCATACCAAAACTCTAACAAAACAAAACAAACCAACTGGGCATGGTGGTGCACGCCTTTAATCCCAGCACCCGGGAAGCTGAGGCAGGAGAATTGCCATGTGTTTTGAGGTCAGCCTGGGCTATGCAATGAGTTCAAAGCCAGCCTGAACTACAGAGCAAGACCTTGTCTCGAAAAACAAAATTTATAGATTTTTCTTATTAACTACGAGGGGAAATTTAAAAACAAGCAATTCTAAGGCTGGGGAGATAGCTCAGTGGAGTAAGTGCTTGCCTGGGAATCACAAGGTCCTGAGTTCGATCCCTAGTACCACCAAAAATTAATTAATTAATTAATTTTAAAAAACAAGCAATTCTAGAAATCATACAATAGACTATATGTTTGCATATACTCACACATACATGTAGTTTATAAATTCATTCCAATAGTATTTCAAAATATTCTTGGGGCTGGTGAGATGGCTCAGTGG